CTGGTACGCCCGACCCCCAGGGTATTCGGTTGATCCAGATCTGTTACCCATTGAAAACATCTGGTCATGAGTTGCTGAGAGACTGACCTGCCAACCCTCTCCACCTTATACGATTAATGAAATGTGATATAGACTTGAAGCAGCATGGAATGAGTTGCCCTTTGTTGTCATCCAAGCCCAGTTCTACTCCATGCCTAAGCGAGTAAGGGCCGTTTAAGCTGCCATGGCTGACAACTAATTCTACTATTTTCTCACCCCTATAAACCCCCAGACTACTTAGACTACTTACAAATTTGATCATTTTATCTTCTTGTCATACTGTTTACGCACAATAAATATTGTTACGAATTTGGTATTTAAAAAGCTAATGTTAGTTCTCAATTATAAATTAAATGGTTTTATTTCTCGCGCAGTGCAGCGCGTGACGAATATTAAAAGAAAGCTAAGCCCCCGGAAAATTAAAAAAAGACAAGAGCGGTTAAATAAATAAATATCTCTTTTTGATTTCGAGAAAGTACTGGAAAATTCTAGCGCGTGATTTTAAAATCTTATAAAAGGAGGAAAACATCTCAGTTTGTAGTAGTTGCTTTAGTTTGTTGTTTATTTAGAAAACTGCCGTTGTTGATTATAGCGAATTCGCGGATTAGCGTTCTTTAGCTGTTTTGAATTACGTTCTATTGTACATTTAAGTAGTTAAAAGATAAGATAAATACTGTGAGATATTGTGATACTGCATGATAATTTGAGAAAATTTAAGCATTTCTGTTGTGATAATAATAAATTTTTGTTCATTTTTCATCGGACTTGTGCATTCATTTCATAACGAAACCCGTACGCCACGCAACAATTTTTGGTGTCAGAAGTGGGATTTGAATGCCAATAACAAGAGGGATGGAAGAAAACAATTGAGACAGCTCATTAATGCTTTGCTTTCCAAGAAAAGATGGAAGCTGGAGGACAAATCTTTTAAAGAAAGAAATGAAATTGGGCCAGGAATCCCTCAGGAAGAAAAATGAAAAACGGCACAGGAACAAATGAAGTTGGGCCCAGGAATCCGTTAAAGGAGAAATGAAATTGGGCCAGGAATCCGTTAAGGAAGAGATGAAAATCTCTTAAAATGAGATGAAAGCAGGTCAGGACGAAATGAAAAGAGAAATTACCTTGCGTAATAGAAAATAAAAATTGAGGCTATGGAAGGCAGAATAGACGCGGTTGAAACTAAAGTTGGACAAATAGAAGAAAGAGTTTCTTCGGTAAAAGACAAGTAGAAGAGAAAGATTTCTTCTGTAAAAGAACATATAGAAGAGAGAGAGTTTCTGCCGTCGAACAACAAATTGATGATGATAGGGTTTCTGCTGCCGCGCCAAAGAAGTTGACAGCCTAAGAAATGCATAGCGACGGTAGGAAACAATTCTGAAGGTTTCAAATTTTATCGATGCCTGCTCGTTCCGTTCTGAAACTATTACATATGATGGGAAGACCTCCTGGCAGGTGTATAGGACACAATTTTCTATCGTTGCGGATGCGAATGGATGGGATTCCCAAGCTAAGGCCTGTCATCTCGCCGCTTCTCTGAGAGCAGACGCAGCGGATATCGCAGACGCTTCCCGAAAACCAGAGACTAGACTTTGAAGCTCTATCCTGCGCATTGAACTGCGCTTTGGTGAAAAGTGTTTGAAAGACTACAGCAGGCTTCACCTAAAATCCCGTCAGCAGAGGCCACCGAAACACTAGGAGCTCGCCACGGATGTTGAAAAGGCTGTCACATCACCGCCTTTTCGGAATGCCCGACAGAAACAAGAGAAATCCTGTCGCTGCAATATTCATCGACGGCATCCGGGATCCTGAAATACAAAAGCTCTTCGAATGGCAAATGTAAAGGACATAAAAAGCGCTCTGTTGTACGCCATGAAATTGGAGGCAGCCCAGCAAGCAACTCTTAGAGATCGCTACCCAGTCAGAGCTGTGCGAGAGTCCACGACCCAGGGGACCATTGATGGCTCGTTTAGATGATTTATCCAGACAAGTCGAAGCTTTGATACGAAGTAGGAGCGAGAAGAAAGTGGCTCCAAGGTGTTGGAGATGTGGTAGTGAAGGTCACCTAAGACGGAATTGCAGAACGCCCCAGGGTACGGAATATAAAGCAGATGATTTACCAGACAAGTCAGTGGCTTGAGACGGAACAGAAGTGAAAAGAAAACTGGTTCTAAAGTGCTGGAACTGCGGAGTTGAAGGCCACATACGAAGAAAACTGCAAACCACCCCGAGTACGGAAAATAAGACCATTTCTCAGCACGACGCAGTAAACAATTAGTGACCATATCGAGGAACGGAGGTTGCCAGATAATGAAAAAACCTTGTTTAAGGCTTAAAATTTATACAGTGAGTGGAACAGTAACGGACTGTCCATTAATGGGAATATCGATGGAGTTCCTTGCAATATGATCATTGACACAGGAGCTAATGTTACCATCATTAGGAAAGATTAGCTGAACAGTTTAAAGATAAACTTATTTGGACGCCATCCTGTGTTACCCTTCAGACTGCGTCTGGTGACAAGATCGACATAACTGGGAAGTTAAACGTAAACATCACGTTTGGAAGTGCCGCCTACCATCCACGGATATGTGGCGGATATTCAGATCCATGCATACTCGGATTGGACTTTTTAAGGAAATACAATTTTTCCTTAGATTTCAAAAAAATAAGCTGCTTTCAGCATCTGATGGCATGACTATCCATCCTCAAAAGGGATCCTCGCCTGGAAATGTCGACGCCTTGTCCGAAAGATCGAGCTCGGGAAGCTGCCGAAATCATACCAGGGTCGAAAAGAAACTCAAGACTACCAGCTATTCTCCATCCCAGAAGCTCTTCAATCGAGACCTTCGTCTGCCTTGTGACCGCCTGTTTAGTCGCCCTACGGATGCGCCTTCATCGCCTGAGGAACACATCCAAGATGCCTAGGCCCGGTTTGAGGGGATGCACCGTTTCTGCACGAAAGCGAGTCAACTTGGCGACGGAGAAAATTGAAGACCAGATGCGACACAAGAGCTACTAGGACAGAGATCCAACAAAGGAGACAAGGTGTGGTTGTGGAACCCAATTCAACGAAAAGGACTGAGTCCTAAATTACAGTCACCTTCGGATGGTCCATATACAGTGCTGAACACGAATGACGTCGTGGTTCGGATCCGTGAGTCTTCGAACTCTTACGACAGGTTAGCTTATTACTATGGCCATAGTACGTAATGTAAATAATTGTAAATAGTATCAGACCATGGTCCTTTTTGTTTATAAATGTGTATTTGATTTGATTTGTATTTAGTATTTGTTTTGTATTTAGTATTTGATAGCATTTGATTTGTTTAAGTTAGTTATTGCATTTATTGTTTATATTGTTTGATATTGTAATGTAATGTTTATGCCACAGTTGTAAGTTTAGCTTCCTGTCCAGGGATTGTACTGCCCGGGACGTGCAGTCCTTGGTAAGGGGGCAGTGTTACGAATTTGGTATTTAAAAAGCTAATGTTAGTTGAATTATAAATTAAATGGTTTTATTTCTCGCGCAGTGCAGCGCGTGACGAATATTAAAAGAAAGCTAAGCCGGAAAAATTAAAAAAATACAAGAGCGCGTGCGTTAAATAAATAAATATCTCTTTTTGATTTCGAGAAAGTACTGGAAAATTCTAGCGCGTGATTTTAAAATCTTATAAAAGGAGGAAAACATCTCAGTTTGTAGTAGTTGCTTAGTTTGTTGTTATTTAGAAAACTGCCGTTGTTGATTATAGCGAATTCGCGGATTAGCGTTCTTTAGCTGTTTTGAATTACGTTCTATTGTACATTTAAGTAGTTAAAAGATAACTACTGTGAGATATTGTGATACTGCATGATAATTTGAGAAAATTTAAGCATTTCTGTTGTGATAATAATAAATTTTTGTTCATTTTTCATCGGACTTGTGCATTCATTTCATAACGAACCCGTACGCACGCAACAATATCTTTTTTGCATTTGCTTTTCTTCATGGTGTTGCAATTTTAACGCTATTTTAAAATGTATTTTAGTGAGTACTTCCTTCTTCTTTAGCTTGAAAATTGGTCTGTAAATGAACATTTGCACACCGATGCATTGAGTATTTTATGATGGAAAGGTTCGAGAATATATTCATGATTTTATTTATCAACGAGATGAAGAACCTTCCACTTCAAATGAATATTAGGAATTACACGAAAATTAAACTGTACTATTAAAAAAGAGAGTGTGCTAGAGAAAGCGACACATGTTTACGGAAAAACTGCCATTAAATTACGTGTTGAACAACGAGTCTACGTGATTTAAATTAGTAATGTGGAAAAGGTATTATATTCTAATACCTTTGAAACTTCCCTTGCACGTAGTATCATCGGCAAGATTACTGGAACAGAATTTAAAATTTCTACTCCTTTGTAAGGTAAATTCTTCTTCGGACTTTCCTTGGGCATTTTTCTCGCTATCTGAGATTTCCCATTAGAAAATTATTTGAGGAATTTTTTACCTGAAGTGTACGTGAAATTATATTATTGAACGGGACACGTCACGGCTTGAGCGATATTCTCGGTGATACCTGGCTAGACTAAACTAGGTATTGTACTAACGCTGGTGGTAATGGTAAAAGAATGCAATAGTAAAGGTAATACCTTACTACTGCATTACCACTGTAAAGGTATTAAATTCTAAAATTTTTTCAGTAGGGCCTTTTAGGGCCTAAAAATGTAGAATAGTTGAAATTATGGCTAAGAAATGATGCAGGATGCAAGCCACGAGCTGAATTACAGTTTATGTAAATAACCGTGTCACACGTGATTCTCAACCTGAAGGTTCGTAAGACGGCGCTATGTAAGAAACGTCACACAGTTTTCTTTCAGATAATATAGTAAGACACTGATATTTTGTTCTACTTTTTTATAATAAATTATTCAAAGTTTTATAAGCTTATTGCACACAATTTTATATTTTCATAGGAAATGGAATCCTGGAATGCATCTTGTAATATTTGCCACTGTCATTTAAGTACAGTTAGCTGTACAAAAATTGCCTGTCCTATTGTTCAGTGTAAAAATGATGAAGTAGCTTCACTGCTTGACGATAACTGTTGTCCACAATGTACAACTTTTAAAAGTAAGTTATGTATATTTAATATATTATAATTTTCAATTAATGTTTTAAATTTCAGATGAAGCCAGTAGGTTTATTATAATGAAAAAAGTACGCGGTAAATATGTTTTTAATAGAGAATCTTTACGGCTTAGTGAGGTTATACCAGAAAATATCAAACCGACTTAGAAAATGTAGTCTCATGTAATGCATTTCGAAAGAATTTAACTCAGAACTTCAAGAAGAAAAATTATTCTGTGTCTCTGGCCAAACCTTTATCTCTTAAATGAAAGAATTTAGAAGAAAATATGCATTACACCTTTAAACTTTGTTAGTTTATTGATTGCTTTCTTAAATATTTATCTGCTAAAATTATCTCAAAACTGACTTCAATTATGAATTACACAAGAATTTTTACAAAAAAAAAAAAAAAAAGTACAGTTTCAATAATTTGCAAATATAACTGGTGTGAAGTGTATCGCAATGAAACTTAAAATGGTATGTGCTTGCAGATATGACGATTTTCCCCTACATTACGCTTCTTGATGTACTAATTACACTGTAGCACGTTTATCGTTTGACAAAATAGGCACAGCTGCAACGGAGAAATTTTGTTTTGTTTTTATCAGACTCATTTAAGTGCTGTAAGATATTCAATTTTTATGGAAAGAATTTTACCCGTGTTTTTTAAATTTTCTAAACTGTAGACTATAGAATTTGAATTCCAAGATTCATCTCATTTTTTATTTCTTTGAATTTTTATCAAAGGTGACTAGATCACATTCAACTATTTCTACAGATAGCCGACATCACCAAGGCCTTAGACATATTTAAAAATTTATTGTTCCAAAATTACAAACAGACTTCCCGATTAAAAGTAACTTTCTAAAGTTTGATCTGAGTTTTCGTTAAAAACGATTATAATAAATTATGTTTTCTGAAATCTAACACACAAACCCCTTTTTCATTTGAGAAGTGGCCACTCTTTTCCCTAAGTCACGTATCACAATGATCGCCTATGTCAGAGTAAAAGTGTGCTAGGAAGAACTTCATAGTTGCACGCATGTATCTCTTTATTGTGGTAGTTTCACGGTGCTTTTTAATAAGTTATTGTCCTTCTTTTACAAAAATCTTGCATTTCCTTCGAAGGCGACTATATTTACTGCTATCTATGAATTATAAAATAAACTGATTAGTTTTTTCTATTTATCTTCTTCTAAATGCATTTCAGATGCAGCGGAAATGTTTTTTTCTTCCAAAACTAGAGCGAGCCCTTATTTTTAATACAAAATGTAATATTATAGCGGGCGATTTTAATGCGACAAGCACTCTCTGGGATGCTCCCTCAGATAATTTCTAAGCATCTGCAGCATTAGACGACATCTCTTCTCACAGGCAAGCAGTACTAAATCCCAACAACATTACACCAACATTCTGGATCACCCGGTCTCAAGACTGACTAGACACTGACAACAAGCATTACCTTTTTGATAGTTTTTGGATGGAAAATACGCGAACATCCCTTGTACAGCGATCGTCGCTTCATAGAATTCTGTGTACATTTTAATCTGCAATATAACACAATGAATCGATACAGAACCAAATTCATTAACGTGCACAAATTCAGGGATGTCTTAGCATCACGTGAACAGTATTATTGTTGTTGAATGTCAATATATGCAACAACAATAATAATAATCCACCGCCCAGAGAGTGTAGTGGTTAGGGGAGCCGACTGCGATACCAAAGGGTCTGGGTTCAAATCCTCGGAGAAGGTATGGTTCCTCCGCGTGTTTACATTGATTACCGGGTTACCTGGCACAAATTAAACAACGATTGCACAACTTGTCTAACTCATTTAACAGAATCACAGCAGCTAAATGGGAAGTAGCCTCTCGGATGCTAAGAGTATCGTATCAGACAGGAGCTGAAAAAATTGCCTTGCATAGAGGCCTCTATGTGGGGTTCTCATGTCACAAAAATATGAGCTTGCAGCTCAGATCTTGCCAAGGACCTTTTCCCTTGAGCATCTGTCGAGATGCAGAATATCCCCTACCAGTACGCTAAACGTCCTAGCTGGCCTGCCCCCTCCATCTCGTTGTACAACGGGAAAATGCCATAGTCTGCGCATTTAGACTGCACACCAACACATTTCTGTGGAACAGGGAAGTCATCAGTACTGACTATGAACGCAATAGCCCAACAGAGCCATGCTACCCGTCAGAATTTTATCTTGATACGAAACTACAAGCTAATTTCGAGTTATATGCGATATAGGCTGATGGATTAAAGGGAGATCAAGGTACAGGCTGTGGCTTCTGTGTGACAGGAGGCACCAGTAGTGTATTTACCTGGATACGAAAACTAAATTTTGCCAATAGTGTTCCAAGCTGAGCTTGCAACATTTATAGCAGCAGTTCACTACATCATTCTAGTTGGTCATGAACTAACCATATATTCTGATTCAGCAACATTTGGAGCAGCAGTTCACTACATCATTCTAGTTGGTCATGAACTAACCATATATTCTGATTCAGCGTCAAGTCTCCACTCTACGTGATAAGAAAATTTGGAACACCATAGTCGAGGAGATCCAGGGAATGCTACTCTCCTTCCCGACAAATATCATATCAAAGCTCCAATGGGTCTGTGCACACAATGGAGTACACGGCAATGAAAAAGCAGACGAAATTGCCAAATCGGCTATCATGAACAAATGCACCCCGGACATACCATAGCCGAATTTGCAAATGGAAACGAACATTAGGCTTCTTTTGATGGAGTGATAGATGATGATTTTTGATGAATCATGATGAAGTTCCTGGGATAACGACGACACTGGCAGGTGAGTATACAATTATTTTCCTAAGATCAGAGATAAATTACTCAGTGGTACTTCTGAGCGGACACAACTGACGGTACATGACCCATACATGAGCTATTTGTTTCGCTTCCACTTTTTGAACAGTACGCTGTGCATATGTGGAAGGGTAGGAGTTACTGACTATTATATTTTTTACTGTCCAGAAACAAGCGCTTTTTATCATTATCTCCGCATTTCACCAGCTGTAAATAGACATGTGTGGGCAAATTACATCTGCTTCAACACGCATGAGCTCAGACGTATCCAGAAATGCATTGAAATAGCTTTTGGAATCTCCAATCGATTAAATATCGAGATGGCATCCTGCTATAGCTAAGGGCAGTAAAGAGAACTGTCATAAACTTGAAAAATGCTTAATATTCATATTTTTTCACGATACTGGTATATCAGCGAACAAAATTAGAATCACTGGCAGGGTTTAAGCAGGTTGATAAGCACCATCTCTAGGTGGACTAGCTGCTGTGTCGATGGAGTAAAGTAAAAAAAGTTGCAATGTTTTAGGATCCTTTCCCTCCATTTTGCTTAAATAAATGACTGCATATTCGTTTTTGCTTTTTTTTCCTCTTATTTATGAGACAGTGTGTGGCAGAAGAGCGCCGAATATTTTTTTTCGTTGTAAAACAATGGCCTTGAGTCAATGAACAATGGTTTCAATTCTTGATCTCTAGTTATTATTTTGATTTATGATCTTACAACCATTATAAGTCTTATAACTATTATTTCTTTCAGCTTGAAAAATCAAAATATATCTTTTACTGACTACTGAATGTATATTATTTCTACAATTTAGAGCCATGCATTGATGGAGATATTAGTCATGCTCATCAGGAAGTTTGGTCTTCGGACACAGATTGTGTTCTTTATCAGTGTCAAGATGGCATTTCTGTTCCCCATGTTATTAAATGTCCGTCACTGGCATGTCCAAAGGTGTGGATTTTATTATACTACAACTCCATTTAAATAGTTTTGAAAAGATATCACTAAAATTGTGCATTTTTTAAACTGTTAAATAATATATTCTTTCAAAGGGAAAGCAACTTCATACTCCACCTGACGAATGCTGTCCAAGATGTGTTCTTTCTACTTGCATGAACGAAAACAAAGTATATTATAAAATTTTAGTATTTTCTTCTTCATGCAAAAGTTTAATATAATCTTGTTTTTAAATAGTCAGTTAAAATTTAGCATATTTATAAAATACTGTTTTATTTTTCCAGGCCACAATATCTGAGAACTGTTTCTCTCGACACAATGATACAGGAAGAAAATGTGTTTCAAGCTTTCCTCAGTCAGAAGAGGTTTCATTAGCTTTCTTTAAATAATATGATTCAAACATAATTGAGTTTAGATGTTAAGCAATTTTCTTTAGTAGTAATTGTAATTTAAAAGTATTTCTGCGATATTTCAATAAATATCCATCTAAAAATGTAGCTTCGGCTTCATTAAGAATATATTTTCTTTATGTGTGCAGGAATTTTCATGAATTCGTGGTACGCTAATTTTATCACCGTATGTTAAAAAATGTTAAGCATCCATAGTCTTTCACTTATTACTGACACAGAAAGGTTTGGAAAGAAAATGTAGAAAATTTACCGTAACAAGCTAAACTTAAATTATCAAAAAAGTTTTTAGTATTATTTTTTTCCATATTATTTTTCCTGTGTATCAGTTATTTAGAATGTTGTTGTAACAGATCTAGACTGGTTTATTAGATGCATTTTAATTGGATTTATTAAGAATATATTTGAATAGTTTTTCTTATTTTTATTTGGATACTTTTATTTAGTTTTACTTTTTGTTTATTTTGTGACATTCTCCTGTATTTTCATTGGCCTCAGAAATGTTTCGTTTCATTATTAAGCATTCCGTTAGAAATATTTGAATAGCACCGAATATTTTAACTCCAAATACGTACTTCCGTATCAAATAAGTGCATAAGTAATGAAAGTGAGGGAATTTTATATTTCTCATTTAGAATATCTGATTTCAACTAAAATAAAAAATAAATTATTTTCGAAAAATAAATTATTTTTATTTCCAGAAAATAAAACACAAAGCACATTTTTCTTGACATAATGAAACCATACTATATATTTTTTGCTTATTTAAATACATAATCCATTTTATTTCAATTAAAGTGAAACCATGAAATTAATTTTTATTTGCGCAATTTCTAAACCCATATGTATAATCTGGGTTTTATTTTTAATATATTTAATTGACGGAAAATTAGTATTCATTTGCGAGAATAAAGCACGTGGTTCAGATCAAATTATTCTCAGGTATTATTCTATTATTTTTGTGAAATAAAACACTAAACTAACTCAAGAAGCTATGACTTAAAAAATTACTTTTCTTCCAATGTTTATAGGCTACACATTTTTAATTACTGTAAGCCATTCTTTATACTGTATATTCATAAGTATTAATTTAAGGAAAGGTATTTCTAAAAATATCCACTCTCTTATCATATTAATTTAATCAATGAAAATTAAATAATGTAATAAACTAACATTGAGCCTAATTTTACTTGATCTAGAAAAATGAAACATCTGTCCATATAATTGTGCGTTTTAATTTACGTATTCGAAAAAATTATTTCATAGTTATTTATTTGTTAACAATGCCTATCTTTTGACACTTAAACCATTAGCCATCTTGCATCCCAATGTTTCTGTATTACAGAATTAAAATTAAGTACATAGTACATGTTAAAATGTTCCTTGTCCAGGGGTTGTTCGGAATTATAAAAGGAAGAACTCACTGAGCCTAATGTAAAACTGATGAGCTTAAGATAACTAATGTCCAGTTAAAAGATGAAACTATGCCACGGTTGTATCAAGAGGAGGGTCTCACATATTACGTCCTTTTTTTAAATACATAGATACAGCAAAATGCGGCAACAGTATAACCCAGTTCCAGGAGACTTACTGCATTACACCCCTCTTTCAAAGTTTATTGGAAGTTATTAAGCATAAATAGGGAATTAAATGTCTCAGTAATATGTGAGAGTTAAAAGCAGCAGTAGACATGTCATATGACAATAAAATAACATCATTTAAAGTTTATTAGATGTTATTTACTGTTATAATGCTAATTTTTCTCCTGTTTTTAACTCACTGTATGCTGAGTCACTTTCATTACTTATTGAATCATTTATCATTATATGTAATAGAAATAGATATCATTTCAGGACTTAAATTCATAGTAAGATGTTTATTCACTTTTAAATGTCAGATTTGAAATTAGTGTGAATATTTTGCTTCTTATTCATTTTATGTCTGACAGGACTTTGCCATTCTTTCAAAAGACACTTGCATTCTGTGTATAGCTAGAAACGGAGAAAGAAAATGCTATGAACGTAAATGTCTTTTATGTGAAGAAAGTAGAAATGTGTCTGATTCTCATCCCTGTTGTCCCTGTTCTAAAAGTAAGTGTTCAGTTGAAAAAATTAAAAAAAAAAAAAAAAAAATTCACATATTAAGACATAAATTGCATTTATGCTATTGCCCCTGACTGCTTTTATTAAACCATTGTTCCTGACGGCATTTTAATTTAAAAAAGAGCATACGTGCAAATGATAATATTCAGAGATCGCGGAAACATGCAAAGCCTTCTTGCCATTCCATTCGTTACACTTCATTTCAAAGGTATCAATAGGCCAAAATGTTTTTTAATCTAAAAACTTATATTAATCGATTAATTTCATAAACTGGTCTACGATCCGCAATTCTAGATATATAGTGTGCCTTTCAACCTTTACATCAGTATAATTCTTAAGGAACTGTTCAACATATTTTGCATGTTTGTCTCTAAAGCACCCTTTATAAAGACGGCATATAATTCAAGTAATGATTACTACAGCTTAAAAATCATGAATTAACTTAGACTGATTACTAATAATTACAAACAGCAATAATACAGCCTTTTATTTCACAATAATAAATATGCAATTTTCTTTTTCAGGTAACTGCTCAATTGAATGCGGAAACTGTTTAGATGATAATTCGAACTTCTGTACAAGCTGCGAAGATCTCGAAAAAGTGCTTCACAATGGAAAATGCATTGAAAAGTGTCCTAAAGGTTACTACAGTGATGAAAGAAAACAATGCAAAAGTAAGTATTTTTGCCTTAATTTACAAATTTACAGTTGTAAAATTATTTTATGGCAACTTTATGTAATTAAGAACATTGATACTCATGATTTCATAAAGTACAAAAATCAGAAATGAGTATCCCATAAATTAGTCATACCACAAGATTTAAAACAATGAGCAGATATAACCAGTTGCTTTTTACCATTTGAATATCACTATTTCAGATATCAGAACAGTGATTTTTCAAATACTTTTTACCCCGTTCTTCCCTTCTTACCTCGGGATGCCATTTCCTGTCTAAAGTAATTTTATTCGCGTAATGCATTCTAAATAAAATGTAAAATTGATGGTATTTCCTATTAGTTTATTATAAAAATACTCATAAATTTTAAGCTTGTTAAAGTTAATAAAATATATATTACTTATGCATTTATTAATATACAAATTTTTATTGTATTTAATAAACTTAAATAATGAAACATTTATATTGTTTTTGCTGCTGTTGCATAAAGCCTAACCTGAGCCCTTTTTGTTTACCAGACGTCAGACTGTACGATAACATTTTGTTACAGTAGTTTGAGTCTATAAATCTCGAGATGAACAAATCCTCCCTTGAAGCCATGAAATTCTACTTTTGTATTAGGTATCTCTCGAATAAAAAGAACTTTTCTTTCAATGTTCTCTACAGTAGTATCATATCTCTGGAAGTGAAATACAATCAATAACTTCTCCTAGAAGTACTTTACACCAAAACTAGTTTGAACGGCAGGTTTCTAGCAGTAGTATTTTACGACTCTGAAAAATATTTCCGCTCAATATTGTGCTTCGCACAGATTAACCAACTAGGGAAGAGAAAAATCACTGAACCAAACTAAATGAAATCCCGAGATGTAAAGATTACTTATAAAAGCGCTTTCGACGAAATTGTTGTCTTGTCTGTGTTAGAAGCAATTGTGTCTAGGCTGATATCTTTCTTCTTTGAACCTAACTTTTAAACTGTTATCAGACCTATCTACGTGAAACTCAATAAAAAGTTTTTCTGAGAAACACGTTTCTTTCAGAAGTACAAAGGAAGACTAGTTCAAAAGTATTTTATACAGAAGAAAAACTTTCATCTTGTTGGTTGCTACCCTATAAAGTATTTCTCCCGCTTTCCTAGCGTACCTTCGTGGTGTAGTGATCTGCGGTTCGATTCCCGGCGAAGGCGTTGTTAATTTTCCATCTCTCCTGCTTCCAAAATACCTAATGTCTCTACAGTGGCGCCCGAACTAAAAGAGTTTTGGATGAGGATTCTCCACACGCAGGATTTGGCGATCGTTTCCCCTAAAAAACCCAGTCGCTTCAGTAGCCCTTTAAAAAGGGGAGTATATAAGGTATTTTTCCCGCTTTCCTAGCGTGCCTTCATGGTGTAGTGGTCTGCACGCTGGGCGGTATTCCAGAGGTTCGCGGTTCCATTCCCGGCAAAAGGTATTGTTAATTTTTCATCTTTCCTGCTTCCAAAATACCTAATGTCTCTATAGCCCTTTCTGTCCTAAGTGAAAAAGTTGCCAGCGAAATTTCCCAGAATCATAAAATATTGTAGCACCCGCAAAACACATAACTTAAAGCAACTGTTGTCCAAAAATTGCGGCTAGAAACCTCCTGTTCAAACTAAACGCATTTATCTGGAGAAACGCATTTATCGCATACGTTTTGAGTAGCTTGATTTGATAATGTCATTAGTGAACCAAACAATCTTTGGAATTTTACAAATTAATTTTTTTCGGAAATGGTAACGAAATGGGATGAAATTTGTTGCTTATCAAAAAGTAATCTTTCATAATACTGATTTAAGGCAAATAAATTACATACTGTTTGGGAAATCTGCAGTTAGGAACCTGCTGCAATAGAGAGATTTTTCTGATAAGGTATCGTTAAATTACATGTAAGATAATCAAAATATGGAATTCGCTGAAACAAATTCATTTGAGAATTAATTATAACTCTTCACTTCTTACTTCCTTTTACTGTACTGTTTCTGTCGAAAACATTAATAGTTTTAACGACTGAAAAGGGAAAATTATTTGCTTGCAAGTAGTTCAGGATATTCATTTAGAAATTATTTAATGTGAAATTTAGGGTAGTAATTTAGGGTAGTTTGTAATTTTTATCTTTAAAAGGATTTTGTGCAAAGAGATATGAATTTTAATCAAGAGATATTCTACTATGCTTACGGTATACATCTAATCTACAAATGTTAATATTCCAAATAAAACATTCTAGGGCAGTATCTTGTGACCACCTAATATGGTATGTTTAGATACATACCAGAAAGAAAAACTCCTGCATTCGAAATAATTTCGTATAATTCTGAAAGTAGTGTTTTAGAAGATATTTCATTGTGGGAACTAACTTTGAATAACATATTTAAAATATTGTTTACAATAGAGTTTCGATTCAAAAGCGTATCACATTTTGTTTTAACATTTGTAAATGTATCGATTTTATGATATTGTGTTTTCACAGTATGTACCTTTTGACAAGATTTAAGATTTAACCTTAGAAAAGTGCTCATCTTTTAAATCGTATATACTTATGGTGTATTTGTTAATAAAACTCCAACAATATTTTGAACAACTTTTGTTATAAAACGATTATACTTTTAGAAACCAGAAAACTATTCAAATGTAATATTTCAGCTTTGAATATACTTATAAAAGTTTTTATATTAGATCATACATATAAAATTATTTTGGTCACTGTTTACCTCATAATCCTGTGCTTTATTTTAACAGCTCGAACGTTAATGAAATTTTTTATGTCTAGTAATGGAAATTAATAGGAAATGAAATTCCCTGTATCTGTCTTTTGCCATCAGAAGCTTACGCAGCTTCTTTCAGTTGTAGAATGAATTTTCTGGCTTTTACTGCTATCTTTATTCCTATTAAAGCCGTAAGTAGCTGAATGAATGACTTCCACACATGATGTTGATGGCAGAAGTATATTTTGTGTTTTCTCCTCTGCGTACTATAAGCATAAACCACTCTTTCACAAAAAGATCTCTTCCGAAAATGTAATCAGCAAAACGAAATCCTTAACTGCTTTGCAGGAACCCGTTACGTATCTACTTTTTATGGCTAAACTTACGAAAAAAATCTCTGAGCTTGTAAATTATATGGTTTAGTGTTGTTTAACTCATTCGCTGCCAGGGTAGGTATTCGGAACTTCGCCAGAAACTGACTGATGTGAAAAAGTTATGAAAACATATGCTTTTCCTCGAGCTGGCGTTTAACTACCTATTAAATATCACCCCAATACGCTCTGGCGATGGTGATAAACGTACACGTTTGTTATAGACGAAGATATTAAATCATATCCTTACAATGAGTATCTTTTCCTATAGCGAACTCGAATTATGTTGTGTATTTATATTCCTAAATTTAGCCTTTCTGCGTTTCAATTTCTAATTCAATAATATCTCTATTTGTTTCACATGTCTGTGTCTTTGTGAACATAGTGTCTTCACTATGCAATATCTGTCATGGTATTATGTAATCACTGATCTACCTCATTCACTGAGTTCCTTTGTTTTTTAATTGCATCATGTTTAATTACTAGCAGTATGATACAACTTACTAGCACGGTAATTTATATAATTACATAGCTATATGTACACATTCATTCAGTTATGTAGCTTAATAATTTATTTATCTTTATTTTACCTATTTTTATTTTTTATTCATTCGGTCATTTATTTATTTATTTCTGTTGTATTTTTCATCCTCCCTTTTCGGCCGTTAATTGTTAGAAATTTGTTACAATCTTGTTTAATCGCACACTCTACCTTAGAGTATATATGAATTTGTCAAAAAGCTCTGCTCTAAGGATGGGCATCCTAGGCATTGCGTTACAGGCAATTAATAACATCGATGCTTTTCGGCCGATAAGCTAAGGTCCAATAGATCGGCCGTTCTTCTGTTGTGAAAAGAAAGTATCAGTAACCGCAAAACTTTTTATCCGGGTTTTGCTTAATTTAGTGCAAAGAGTATATCTTAGTGCATCTTAATACCATTAGTACATCTTAGTATATTTCTTTTAATTATATTTTTTATGAATGAATTTTACTGTTATACATTTTTTAATATTTTCTTTTTCTAGCACTGCAATATTTATTTCTCTTTTTTATTAGTCACAGGCTGACAAATTTGTGGCCAGCACAATGCATCAAATATCTAACTTAACTTCTATTCGTTATGCATTTAACATCATTATATTTGGTGATTTCATTCCTGTCTCCATTGAAAATCTTTTATTAAAATCACAATCGATAACTTTAATAGTTACTTTTCCATTTTTAAGTCTGTTGAGCATTTTATAAGCTAGTAGTAGCTAATTGCACTTCTAAAACGTTTTCAGCTGAAATAAAATACTGCGAACGAAACTGTTGTCATCATCTTCACATAAGATTTAACATAATTTGTTTCTGGATTTTTTTTTAATTCTCAAGGATATTAGATTTGAATAATTTGAAGCCACATTTTTTTTTCTGCAACAAGTATGCTAAAATTAACATTTAAATTTGAAAGAAAAGAAATAAGGCTTTGTTTATTGGTCGATTAATATTTTAATTATTATGAAATCCAAAATTATTGAAATAATTATTTTGCAATAATTTTATAAATATGGTAGTGCGACTAATCACTGTGCTGGAAAATTATATCAGCAAAATAGTTTGAGTCTATCTTCCCGCAAATAATACCAGAAGCTCACGACACTAATGAAATTCGCATGCTTTTTCTACTAGCGATGCTGCAAGGCATTCTTAAAAAACCTAGGATTGTTCTAACATATTTTAAAATGCATTATACTAAGCTGAAATATTGACTTGCATCCATAAATTTATATATGTAGGATGCAGTTGTATTTAGAAACAGTCCTATTGATGACAACGGTAGTGATATTTAGTAATTTAATGGTGAAAACTCGCTAACATAATTAACCCAAAGATAACACATAAAAAGAAATAAGAAGAAAAAAGTC